TAATGCATTTCAAAAAAAAAAATCTTTTTAACACCAATGTAATGATTGAACTAAGGACACACTATTTTAATAATATTAATGGGCCACTTCACTGTTTTAGCATATCAAAAATATTTTAAAACATTGCAGGGCGGATCTGGGAACCAATAAGGGGGGCAAAAGTTAGTTTTAAATAAATTCACAAATTTTTGAACAAAAGGTCCTTAAAAAAAAGTTTCACATATCACACTTTGATAACATTGGGTAAGACTACAATATAAGCCAAAGTGGTTTAAACTTTATAAGGGGAATTTAAAGGCTAATTTACATATTTAATGTATAAAATATAATTTTTATGTTGAAAAATTCCCTATCCCCTCCCCCCTGTCCCTCCCCCTGTCCCTCCCCCTGTCCCTCCCCCTGTCCCTCCCCCCTGTCCCTCCCCCCTGTCCCTCCCCCCTGTCCCTCCCCCCTGTCCCTCCCCCCTGTCCCTCCCCCTGTCCCTCCCCCCTGTCCCTCCCCCCTGTCCCTCCCCCCTGTCCCTCCCCCCTGTCCCTCCCCCCTGTCCCTCCCCCTGTCCCTCCCCCCTGTCCCTCCCCCCTGTCCCTCCCCCCTGTCCCTCCCCCCTGTCCCTCCCCCCTGTCCCTCCCCCTGTCCCTCCCCCTGTCCCTCCCCCCTGTCCCTCCCCCCTGTCCCTCCCCCCTGTCCCTCCCCCCTGTCCCTCCCCCCTGTCCCTCCCCCCTGTCCCTCCCCCCTGTCCCTCCCCCCTGTCCCTCCCCCCTGTCCCTCCCCCCTGTCCCTCCCCCCTGTCCCTCCCCCCTGTCCTTCCCCCTGTCCCTCCCCCCTGTCCCTCCCCCTGTCCCTCCCCCCTGTCCCTCCCCCTGTCCCTCCCCCTGTCCCTCCCCCCTGTCCCTAACCCCTGTTCCTCCCCCTGTCCCTCCCCCTCAGGGGGAGGGAAAGGGAGAGGGAAAGGGGGGAAGGGAAAAGTGATTTACAGGGAGAGTCAAATTGGGTAAAGGGGTTGTTTGGGAGAGTTGTCCAAGGAAAGATATGACCTATATAGACAGCTCTCCACAATTACTCCTGTAGCCAATGACCCAAACCCTGTAAGACACCTTCTTCCAATGGCAGGGAAAGTTCCCCCCCCCCTTTCCCTCCCCCTATCCCTCGCCCTATACCTCCCACTAGAGGAGGGTCAGGGGGAGGGACAGGGGGAGGGACAGGGGGAGGGACAGGGGGGAACTTTCCCTGCCATTGGAAGAAGGTGTCTTGCAGGGTTTGGGTCATTGGCTACAGGAGTAATTGTGGAGAGCTGTCTATATAGGTCATATCTTTCCTTGGACAACTCTCCCAAACTACCCCTTTACCCAATTTGACTTTCCCTGTAAATCACATTTCCCCTTGGACACCTAAATCCCAGACACGGGAACATGAGCTATGACTAGATCCAAGTCAAGGTCCAGAACACCTCATAAAACAATCATTGGTGTTCTGAGCTATGACTAGACCCCAGTCAAACTCCAAAACACCTCATAAAACAATCATTGGTGTTCAGAGCCGCTGTGTTCCCGTCACCCTCCCCAGTGGACTCCCCAATCCCAGACACGAGCAGTGTCAGGTCAAAAGACAAGGTTGGTTTTACCCAGCCACTGTCAATGATCCGACATATCAACCATGTCTAAGCTCTGCCCAGCCTGACACAAGCTCTGACTAGACCCTAGTCGAGCTCCAGAACACCTCATAAAACAATCATTGGTATACTGAGTTGTAGGCTTCATTTAGGACTGTTTGGAGACAAGGTAAACACAAAATTCAGAAGTAATGGTTTTAACTTTTTAACTTTTAGATATGTTTTTCAGCTTTTTAGTTAGAAGCACTGAAAAATATTATTATTAAAAAACACAAATTTTTACATTGCAATTTCTGACTGTGATGAATCACTTTATTCGTTAAAATGTAATAGGATTGATTTAATAATATCATTTATTGCTCGCTTGGTCATTCAATCTGGGTGATTTAGCAGGGTACATGTTTCTTGTATCAATATGAAGAGGTGAAGAATTACACTAATAAACTTGTTCTTAAATTGGCTAATTTCGTACTTTAAATGAAAGTGTCAAAAATATCCAATAACTGAGTGTACAAATTGGTTGGAACTTTTCTGTATTAAATATCTAAAAGGAACATTTTGCATTGAAAATCTTCAGTCCTGAACAGTAAACAAACTAAAAAGTAGGTACTGTGCTGTAATTTTTCACTATTGCAAGTTAGAATGATTCAGATTCAGATTGATGCCATTCATATGTTACAAATTGTGTATTTAGACTTTGCTGCAAGGGAATTCATGGCTGATTATGTGCCTTTATTTGAACCTACTTAAAAAAGAAAATTGTTGTACAATTAATATCTTACACAACTCCTTAGGTGCTATAGAAGTTAACAGGAAATGACAAAACAGGAAGTGACAAAAAATTTTGCATTTTTAGACATTTTTTGAACAAAGATAACAGAGTTCTGTTTTGACCTCCAGTCAATGCAACTAGTTCCAAATACCATTTACAGGTCCAGGATCACAATGTTCATGGTCAGAATGACCCTAAACATGTTTGAAATATACTCCTCAAAAAAAGTTAAGGACCAGTGGTTTTCCTCATAGGTTTACATGTTAACCCCCATATTTGTTTGAACGACTATTTTCTAAGCGTGGAACAAAAGAAATCCTAATAAAGTAAATAAATCTGTATCTTGATTCTATTCTCTATAAAGTACGCAACATTTCAATGTTATATCTCCATTACATTGGTCAAAATTTGATGTCAAAATTGATGAATTTCATGAAATCTAACAAAAATGGCAGATCCCATGTTAAACAAATGGGGAATGGTGGCTTAGGGGCAACTCAAATTTTGGGATATCTATTCAGTGGAACATTTGTTGAAAAAACTTTCTGAGTAGAAAATCGAATGGTTTTACATGTTACATGCTAAATGTCTAGCTTATAATGGTAAAATTAGCGATATAGAGTAATCTTGACCACCTCACTGACCACCTGTGTTATTTCAATGAGAGGATCCTTAAAAAATTACTAAATTTGAAACCATTAACTTTTGTAAAGCCCGGAAGATAAAATCATATTTTTGTCCGTTGGACAATATAGCAAATTTAATTGTCTCTTGAAATTCTAATTTTGAAAGCAATCGGATGGATGGATCGTTCCTCATGACTTATGGCAACCCAACCATTCCCCATTTGTTTAACATGGGATCTGTCATTTTTTTAAATTTCACGAAATTCATCAATTTTGACATCAAATTTTGACCCAATGTAATGGTGATATAACATTGAAATGTTGCGGACTTTATAAGGAACAGAATCAAGATACAGATTTATTTTCTTTATTGGGATTTCTTTTGTTCCACGCTTAGAAAATAGTCGTTCAAACAAATATGGGGGTTAACATGTAAACCTATGAGGAAAACCACTGGTCCTTAACTTTTTTTGATGAGTATATTTCTGCGACCCTCAATAGGGTCTCATGTTATTTTTCAAAGAATCAGTCATTCCCCACAATGTCTACATCTCTCACTTTTGCACAACGAGTGCACTACTTGACTAGTGCTTAGCAGCCTAAGTTTGCACTAAAGGTCTTTGGTCCTCTTCAAACTATTGACCTTGTTTTAAGAGAAAACAAGACCAGACACTACCAGAAATATGAAAGGATAACATTTTCAAAAAAGGCTATAAATAAAGTACTCTCATGAAACAAATTCTGTTTTTTAATCTTCAGGCAATAACTCGAATATCAGAATTCAGATTAAATTTGGTCCAAATTAAAAGTGATCATGTGCAATGAGTTTAATCATAAATGATCAATGATCATGTTTTGAATGATATGATAATACCAACCTTGTTATACTTACATTATCCTCACTACATGCTTACATTGCAAATAAACTCATTTATGATGATTGCAGATTAAGATAAGTTAGAGCACTTACACATGCCAAAAACTATTGACAGATCAATTAACTTATTGATATAGTGTTAGAATATTTGTACTTGCAACTTTCACTTTGTAGTTATGTACCTTGAACTTGCTTTGGGCATGTCTAATAATTGCAGTAATTCCCCTCACTTGTAAAAAACATCTAATTTTTTGATTTACTTGCCATCTTGATGAGTCCACTTGTTTGTCGTCAGTTTTATATGAGAAAACGTTATTATCATTACCAGTGCTCTTTTGAGTTACTGGTCAGTATATAGTAGGTGTAGTTCTTGCCAAAAGGAGACAGTGATTACTATTGTCTGGTATTTCTATCATGAAATATTCAAAATGAGTTGTGATTTGATAAAATATGTTTTGTTTGGGGGTTTGGAGAGACAAACATCCTTCATTCAAAGGACTTCATTTATTACTCAATTCAAATGGAAATAAGTGAAATACCACTCAATTCAAATGGAAATAAGTGAAATACCATTGGACCAAGGATGAAACATACTCCCTAGAGTTCTTTTTGGCTCACACAGTGAGCCTATGGGATCGACTAGGTGTCTGTCCGTCTGTTGGTCCGTCCGTCAACATTGGCCGCACAAATTAAAACTGCTATTCGGATTAAGTCATATCCACATTCATTTTATGCATATCCATAATGCCTATTTGACCTATCATTGCCATTTCCCAAGTTCGCCTGGTTTCCGAGAAATTGCTGATTTTGACAGCAAAAAGTCAAATTTTCTATAAATACTAGACACTTTGTTGAAGTAGAACTTTCAAATAACTTGAAGTAGTTGCTGTATATGCAACTTATGTTCTCTGAAGATTTCTAAGCTGTTGAAATAACAGTTTTTGGTGTTTACTCTATAAAATTTGTTTGTGTGAGCACAGGACCGTGGGTCCTTTATTTGTTCTAGTTATTGTTATAGTCTCAAACTTTTGTTGACAGTTTTGGGCAGTTAGCAACATTTTGCATGTGAATGCCTTATACATAAATGTATATTAATGTTGTTTTCTGTATTTGCAGGTTATTCCAGTTGATACAGATGTTGAGGAGGTAAGTGTGACATCATTGTACAACATTCAGCAAACATGCTAATACAATAAGGAAGTCAACTTTTGTTATATACATTATATGTATTTAAAGATATGCTATACAGATATGTAGGTCAGTATTACATAATCGTGAAATGAATAAGTCTGAATATATCATTGGTCAGAAAACACTAAAACCTGCTTGAAACTGTAAAAGTTTATATACTCTATTCCACACTGTATAGAAATAAAATAACTTACACTATAAGTAACTGTGAGCCAATCATTGCATAGAAAAAACTTCATGCACTGTTTATAAGATTCACTGAGACAAGTGGGTCAATACTTCGTGTACTTTATGTGCTCTCACACAATTACCTTCCCTTGCATAAAGTTGCTGTACAGTTATATGTAACTGAATATTGTATATTCATCACAAACAACCTTAGCAAAATGATGGTTCGACGAAATGGACGGTTCGCTAAAACCAATAAACCAGGCAATTCAGGCCAATTTGGAAAGAAACTAGATAGCGTGATAGCGAATGAGGATAGTAAGTGAAATATATTTTGCAAAGGTCAGCTTGTAAACTACTGGGTAACCCTAAATGATGAGAAATATGTACAAAATATGTTTTGCATGATTTATTCATATCCCAATGATTTAACTCCTTCACTGCATCTAATAAGGTATATAGATACTAATTACGGGACATTTAGGAATTAAGTGACTAGACCAAAGCAAGCATGTTTGAGATTTTAATGATTTTAAATAAATTACCACTTCATTATTTGCTTTTAGACATTCAATCAGTTTTATTTGTCCAACAAACCATATTCACAATTGTTCAATCCAAAGAAGATTAGGGGATAAGCTAAGAGACCCCTCCATTTGTCCGTCCATCCATCCTTCAACTAGACAACAGCAACACCAAAGTGTAGCAAATCCCATCGAACAGCCATGGCTGGCATTTTTTAACAAACAAGGTATACTGCAAAAATGGCAGCCATTTTTCAAAATGGCCACCTTCTACCAAAAGTGTCATTAGACAGTGTGCCACGCTTATAGTATTCACGCATCAAATATGAACAAAATCGCTCTACTACTTTTCGAGTTATAGTAAAATACGTTAAAATGACGGCCATTTTTCAAAATGGCTGCCTTCTACCAAAAGTGTCATTAGACAGTGTGCCATGCTTATAGTATTCACATACCAAATATGAACAAAATCGCTCCACTACTTTTCGTGTTATAGTAAAATACGTTAAAATGGCCGCCTTCTACCAAAAGAGTCATTAGACAGTGTGCCATGCTTATAGTATTCATATACCAAATATGAACAAAATCGCTCGACTACTTTTCGAGTTACAGCAAAAATCGTAAAATAACGAGTAAAGGCCGCCATAGTTCAATTCTTTGAAGCAAATGATTCTAAAAGTACAACATATCTTTGAAAAAATATCATTCTGTTAAGTGAAATTGTAAAAAATATTTTGCAATGTGTGAAATTGAATTAAACCACATGATTCAATGAATAGTGGATGCTTCAATTCACATATGTCTTCTAGTCTAGGCTTTGAATTTGGACTACCACCCTCGTTCATAGTCTAGAATCAGGACATATGTTAAATTTAATCATCTACAATGCATTGAGTCATTGGCTTAAATCCTATAATATAATATACCTATCAATATAATATGTAATTATTTAAGTATCATCTCAATGCTTTAATTTTAATAGAATTATTTTAATATTTTACTAACTGTATAATATGTAGTTTGCATTACTGTTGATAAATAAATAAATGATTGCACTGTTCAGTAAAGAAATATATATAATTGTATTATTTAAACTGACTATACACTATAAAAATGATTTTCATTGAAAAATCAAATCAGTACCAAAATTATGGTTACCCTGTAGTAGTGAAAGGCACATTAGAAATGAATATCACCCCCTTCAATCTATTTTTACAGGTTTTTATGATTATTTCAGATTTTTCTATAGTTTGCGTAACCAGGACGGTGAATTTTCTTCATTTTACATCAAACATTTCGTCTTACCAATATTTATTATATCTGTCAATTTTATCAAAATCGCGCCGCTACGTTTGAAAATAATTCAAATAATGTAGTTTTTCCCATTGAGCTCCATTATAAAAATGGAATTTTCAAACTTAATATTTTAAAATTCTACGTGGTGAAAAGTTGCATATTGAGTAGTTAGTTAATGTTATGGTGTTAAAAATTCAAAACAAAAAGGAATAAAGAAAAAATGCCACAGAGAAGTCTCAATAGAGTATCTTTAATAGGGGTCCAACGATACATTATGAAACGATACAATATGTATCTCGACCGGGGGGGGGGGGGGGGGGGGGGTACAGCACTGACGTAGCTGAGGTTGAGTGAGATTTAAAAGTCTGTCACTTGCTGTGACATTTGATTCAGATGCAGCATAAAAACGTTAGTCAAGTATCAAGCCTACCTGTCCTGTATAGTAGCTATGCATATTTTGCTGTGCTCTCCCTTTTACTAAGGAATTAGCTTACATGGATTAAAGGAAACCTCTTATTCTACAACATTTTATATTAAATTTGATGACGTTCTTTTAATATAGGTCAAATGTAAGGTCACAAGTGCAGAAAGGTCAACCCAATAAAATTTGTCAAATAATTTTATAATTTTGTTTAATTTATAAATCATTGCCCTTTTAAATAACATAGAAAATATACAACCTAAAATGTCATGGTAGCAATGATATCTCAATTTACTGACATAAGTATCTAGTCTACTAGAAAGGTGTAAGTATCAACACTTATGTATTGTACTTAGAGCCATTTTTAGTTAGTCAACTTGCTTGCGCAAAAAACATGACTTCCTCTAAATACCCAATACTAACATATGGATCCATCAAGGTATTACATACTAGGGGTGCCTCGGCTTGTTTGGTGACGATACGAGCATATCAATACAAAGACTCAAATATCGATACACCAAAAATATTGTTAACATACCTGAAATCCATCATATTTTGCCCAAATCTACTGAATATTTGACTTTTTGAGAAATTATTTTTATGTTTTTTGTTTGGTTGCTCACAGGACATGACATGCCCAAAATGTTGTATAAATGTGAACAGAATGCTTATCAGAATGATTGTCAGTCAAGATGCAAACAAAAAATAACCTGTGTCTTCGTATATCAACATACTTTGTAATAATTCAATATACTTTTTGACAATTTAATATGAATAAATATAATATATGAACTTTTTATTCAACAAATTGCCCACTAATATTGATGACTTAAATAACAAAAGAACAATATTTATGTTCGGAGTATTCATGTTGACTGGAGGTTAAGAGATTGAAACTTTTTGAAAGTTTTGAACACAATTGATACAATTATGCATCAGTAAGCATCAGAAATGGATAGTTGTGATATCCTAATACCCCCCAACAGAAAATCTACTGTATTACTTTGGAACATCATCGCATCCAACAAAAATTCAAGGAGAAGGTTAGAAAAGTCATCAATCCGTCTGTTTATTTAGCCATTCATGCATTCATCTGTATCTGTGTAAGATGATAACTCACATGGAGATTTGGTTCAAATTTTGTAGCTCACTACTACCTTTTGAGCATAGAATCTCTGCCTGGGAATGAATTCAAAATAGCTGCCATTTTTCATGGGTAATATAATTTTCGATAATTTGAAAATTAGTTGTCAAATTTGATTCAATTTTATCAAGATGGCTACTGAATTTATAAAATGAACTTTGATAACTTAGATACCTGACTTGTCTACCCTGCGTGCAGAGTCTAGTTAAACTACACTCTGCCTAGTAGAGACCAAATTACAGTTTAGTAGCCCCGCCCCCACGACGGGTACCGGTGACAGTTTGGCTAATAAATCACTTCTGACTTATGTGCTGGCCTTTCTTCCACCATTCAGCGAGCTTGAAGAAACATACGCCAATTGCGTTCTAATTAAATATGCGCATGTCATTGGTCAATTCCGGGCTCAACAATGACGTCAGAAGGAATGACCATATATAGAACGTCAGTCAAATTTGGCCGATGAACACTGATTGGCGGGGTGAGTTCACAGGTTTATTTTAGTTTGAAAGAGTAAAGACGAAGCTGTCTTTTAAGAAGTGAAGTCAAACGAATGCAAAGGGTACCACTTGTCAGATGTGATTCAGAGTTTATTTATCAAAAAAGCATATTACTCAACGCAGTTCTGATACAAGATTATAGATTTTTGAACGCAAGTGAGCAAATCAAAACGGAAATGTAGTGCATCTTTAAGTACCATTTTATATATCACAGCCTTGATGGAGCCGTTTTTAGGCAGTCAAGACGTTAATGGACTGTTACCTTAGGCATTAAGCGACTAGAACTGTAAAAACACTTTTGGTGTAACATTTCAAACGCCCGTTTGGAGCCCAATTATTGGATAGCGATACACTCTCGTTCCCAACCTGTCACTGATAGAGTCAACGTCCACCATCGTCCCATCACCGCCCTGCGAACATGTCCTTAATGGTCACACCATTCTTATACCATTCCCATACCATTATCATCGTTCGGAGCAGAACGTTACTCAAATGGAAAAAGTTTTGTGCATGCATAGCAGTCTGTAACCATGAATTTATTGTCACAGACATTTGTCACCTTTGGCCATGATCAACAAACAACGTGTTCATTTGGAATACGTCTAAGTTGAACCAACGATACGAGAATGGAGAATTCGAACAGACATTTATAATTGATGATAGTGTGTATTTATAATTGGAAGATTTGAACTTCCCATCATACACTTTAAACTTGAGGTCGCTACTTTGCGTCCCTATTGTTTTGCGTTTGGTTTGTGTCTGTGATTGCGCTCAACTGATAATATCATGCAGCTCAAGCGTTGCGTTTTGCGACCGCTGTCATATAATAATTTTGCAACTAACTGATAATGAGGCCTCTGAACTTTGCTTGAGAAGGAATTTTCAAAATAGCTTGTAAATTCAAA